GCCGTCGTCGAACACGAGTTACTCGTGGGATAGTTTGTTGCTCAGGTGGGTGCCGAGTGCGGAAAACGGGATGCCGGGCGCCTATTGTCAGGCCATCCAGTTGCTCGAATGTGTGTGCCGGAAGCCCGGCACTTTCGGAGATGTGTGAGACACCGTTGTTGTTGTTGTTGTTGTTGTTGTTGTTGTTGTTGTTGTTGTTATTGTGGTTGTTGCTGTTGTTTTTCGTGGTGGTGGTTGACGCCTGCACAGAAAAACCAGCTCCGACCCCTGCCCAGTACCCCACTTTTCTAACATGCGCACTGGTGCTCCTAACGTTGGGTGCCTTCCTCCGAACAAAGGTCTCAATGGAAAGTTTCACAGCAAAAACACTGCGGACAAGAGCGATCGAGAACGGAGAGTCCATCGCTCCCCGTCGACACGCAAGGCTAAGAAAAAAAGCAAAAAAACACAAATCACCGACGATTCCTGGCATGATGTTGTCCTCGTGGCCCCGCCGGTCAGGTATGTGTGTGACGCTCGTCATGTATTCACGTCCGAATTTTGCACCGGTCATGCCATTGCCCCCCACATACCTAGAATATGGGGGGGGCAGGGCACGGCGATACCTCTTTCTTGCTCCATTCCAAAACGCACAAGACAAACTACTCTGCTCCACACATTCCTGCTTTGTTAGAATATTTCACGTCAGGTAGGTTCCGGCCTGATAGGCTCTCGCCCCGGCCGCCTCACATTGACACATGTTCAGCGGCCGTAGAGATGATCGAGCACGTCAAAGGAAGATAAATGGAGTAAGTAAAAGGTCTCTGTGCGTGGTTTCTCTTCTTTCCGTGGTGATGTATTTCTAGACGTGTATGTGTACAACGGGTGCACAACAAGCACATCCCGCACACCTAGGTACCCGAGTTTGGAGAATTTCGGCGGCGGGGGGGCACCAGCATTCTTAGACCGACATACATCAATAATAGGGCCCCCACGTGCCCTGTTCTCGTCGGGGTATCATTAGCTTAAGCCAGTATCCTCTCTTGCGAACCCCCAAGCATGATCACACAGAACGGGTGCATATCATATGAAGATAGCACCTAGCCCGCTCACAGAATGCGTGAAACGAATTTAATACTATTTCGTAGCGTACGATGTGTCCCCCATATGCGGCTTGGGTGAAGTGCGTGGGATCTAAGCTCCAAGAGAAGCACATGATCGAAAAGAGAAACGACCATCTCAGGGGGATACCTTCGTGTGCGAGACGACCTTTTCGTGCACCCTGCCCATGGTGTACCATTTTGGTACAGCCATTGCCTGTGACCACGAAAGGCGTCCGCCTCAGTGTTACCGGAAATGATGATAGAAGGTACCGAGAAGAGACCGGAATGGTTCCAATGTGAAGACAGACAACGACAACAACAACATCAACACAACGAACACAACAATGGTTCTCTGTGCTACATACAAAAATGTTTCGCATACGTAGCATCTCTCAAGGTAGTTATCTCGGGGTTATTTAAAGGCTTCGGGAGTGAGGGAGAGAAATGAGCTATTTTCTTGCATTTCCCGATATTCTTTTCAAGAGCTTTCCAATCAATGTAGTTCCATCGTCTGTGCCAAAAGCCAAGGCTTTCGACATTTCCTGACGTTTCGCTTCCTCGGAGCAGATAAAGCAGCAGTCTTGGCAGGGCCAACGGACGATTCCGCGTTGGGGAGCCCGAACCACTATCAACCTCCCGCCTGGAGTACCAACGGAATCCAATACGTTTGGGTACCCGGGACTACGACTATGCAATGCGGCCGGCACTCCACCGAATGATGCCCCGCACACCATACCACCACTGGAGGGGGGAGGGGGGGATACCGAACGCAGCAGCTCCCGAAGGCACACTTTAGATGCGTCGTGAGCTCAAATGTCCACTGCACCCAGCAGACCCCGGGCAGTCGAATGGAAGAAGAATGGCAACCGGCGTGCAAACCCCCCGGGAGCCCGCTACACCGACGCCGTAGACGCCGCGAGGTCCACACGGTTAACGGGCCCAAAACAATGTGTGGCTGATATTCTGCCCACGAAGTCAACTTATCGTGTGGGTCGAAAGGTGCAAATCCGTCGCACTCAGGGGGGCCGGAGCTGAAGCGACTCGGCCCGGACGGCTAGGTGGCGCAAGAAGGGCGAGGGGATATGAGCGCCCCTCTCTTACGCGCTCTGAATCTGGCGTTGATCGGCAGGCACGTCCAACGAGAACATAGAGTCAGCCCCGCAGATAGACTTTTCGATCAGTGGCGAACGGTTCGACCTGCAATACCTGCTCGAATACTAGGAAGGCCGGGACGCGCACCACCACCATCACCGCAAGGTTTGCACCTTCGTCATCTGCCACCACTGCGAGCAAGGGGGGTGACGCGGATATCCTTGCCTGTCTTTCTACGACTAGTGACCATATCCCGCGACGGGGTATTTGTCGGAGGGTGGTGGTTGAAGGTTTTCGACGTTAGCACCATGGGCCTATTGGCATCATATGCTATGCCGTGGCACACCGGATTCGTTTGCGGCTGGGCGTGCTTCTCCGCTCAGATGCTCCTTCGTTCTTCCCCGCAAAATATGCGACGTTCCTATGTCACGAGTTGCACCCACCTATGTTCAGCTTTCAGTTTTTGTGTTGAAACGTACCTCCACCCATTCGTACCTTCGGGTGTGTTGTGTGCGGGGGCTCGAACTGGGCGGTCGCCCTCGGGCTCGATTTCATTTTGTCTTGCTAGCGGTGCCGAGTTAGGTATCTAGTATTTGACATGGCATGATATGATGTTCTTGCGTACGACCATGCGTGGGTTGTCATTTTAGTGCTGGGAGCAGCACCGTCCGGTTGGTTTCCGATTGGTTTAATCGATCTGGTCCTTCGCCTTTGTTTATCGTAATGCTCTCGGCCTCGACAAAAATTGCGGCGTCACCGTTTCGCTACCTTCTCAAAAGCTTCATGGTCTCGCTGCTCGCGCACGTTCATATGTTTCCTACCATAATCCGTTTCCCTTGTTCTTGCTTGCCAGACGTTACGGCATGTAGTTTATCTCACTTTAAATTCAGTAGCGTGAGAATCTTTCCGCTAACTGCCTGCGCAAAGAAGGTAAGTTCATTGCGAAAAAACACTAGGCAGACCCAATCCCTAGCCCTAACCCCAACCCCAACTTAGCCGATTCTCGATTCCATCCAATATGTTTGTTTTCTTTGAAAAACCGGCGCACACTACTACCCCCAGCTGTCGTTTGGAAGGCGGTCCAACAAACGCAACAGTTCGCCATCGACTCCGTTCTCCAACCTCCCAGTAGCATGATCTCCTCTATGGCGGAGCCGCCCATAGACAGACCTACTAAAGACCCCCACCTTGAAAGAATGAACGGAATTATTGGTAGCCAGGTCGACCGCCAATAAGTGCGCGTTAGGGGACGACGCCATCTGGGTCGCCGTAAGTTTCGAGGGTCTACGGCCGCCATCATCTCGCACCGGCGCGAAAAGGTACCCGAGGACATGAAAAATACCACCTCGCTTCCACACTGCGAACGATGCCGGCCTACACTAGATGGGGAACGGTCAGCATCAACCCGCGAAGAGCTCCCTTCAACGGGGTGCGTATGAAAACACGCCTCTTCAACTCTACGCCGCCACTATAATTGATAGCATATGCCCCCATTGTAACACGCACGCGGAAACCACTTGTGCATGGCCCACACTGCTTCAAATACATACGTATCTGGCGCAATGGCAACACGCTGATGGGCGACGCAAAGCATGACCATAAACTTTTTTTCAGACATCGTGCACGTGTTGCGTCCTAATCGCACCGCAGCGAAGCATGCACAAGATGCCGAACACCCTTAGCGGGATGCAGGGCGCCCTTCATGCGACTCGCTGGCGAGGTCAATGGTCTAACGACTACGGCATGCACGACTATGAGTACCCCCCCCCCCCCCCTACATGATACGATCGTTCTCCCCACTGTGGCCGATCAACACTACCGTGCACTTTTATTTTTCGACACCTTTTCGCTTGTGGAGGTCTAGACACCTCGCATATTCTCCTGCCTACCCTTTCAACCTTTTAACACCGGAATCGTTCCTCCCCGTGACGGCTTCAAACCTCCTTGACCCTTTCTTCCGCGTCCCTGGCCGAAGCCCTTGAGAGCGTACCGAGCGAAAACATCTCTGCAGCCAATCAAGAAACTCTAGGTATCATCTTCGACGATGCGTCTTCACAACAGTAGATTACAGTAACATGAAAATCACTACAGGGGACACACAGGCCTGACTTCAGTAAGCATCACGGAAAAAAATTCACTCTACACCGCACACCGCAGGGTCAAATCTGTAACGCCGACCGAAACATACCAACCATCTAGGTCAACCAGACCAGAAGAAACCTACGAACCTAAACGCATGAAAAAAATCAGCCAAGAACCACCCCAATATGTGCTTCTCGCTGGTAAATGTGATAGGTTGGCTCTGCAAGAGAGCTGCTGGTGCATAAGGTAACTTGTGTGCCTTTTTAACACTTCTAGTATAACTCGGCCATTTAGTGGCGACGGGAGAACTTTAACATCAAGAACCCTAATAAAATGACGTCCTTCTTGTGAACTACCTACGTGCAAGTTGCCGGGCATGGCACCCGCGCGTCTCCAACAAATCAATACACTGTAGAGAGGGACCGGTTACGACGACGACGAAGACTTGCACCTACTGTAGCGGAGAATCCCCAATGAAACGGTTCTGCCTCATCCAACGAGGATTCCCGGGTCAGAAAGGATGTAAAATACATTTGCGGTAGTCCAATGGTGCCTAGCTTCCGGCCCATCCAATCGCGACCATATTTCTTTTAAGTGGGAAGGATGTCCATCCGCTGTACAGTGGAGCAACGTTTGTGTCAGTCCTTTCTTGCCCTACCCCGCCTATCCTTAAGAACCCGTCGGTGGAGAGGCCGGTACATCTCCGAGCAACTGAACGGTGTTCGAAAGTGCTTACGGAAAACATTATACAAGCAGCTCATCCTGTAGAGCCTGCAAGCGCTGGACGACTTGTCTAGCAAACGGTCTTTCGTCGGGGTCTTCGTGCCACATGTCTTGAATAATCTGCTTGAACGGTAGGCAACGCAGGCAAAGGTCCACATTATTGACAGTTCGATGACAAGTGATGACGCGCTCAGAAGCTTGTGTTGGGGCTGGGCACGGTGATTGGTCGACGAATGACAGAGTTGCACGTGTCTCGCCAACCCCCCCAAACTTTCTCAAACGCCGTTAAGTGAAGCCATGTACTGTCGCATCGACGACGAAAATCTCCGCGTTGACACCGGGCCCTCGCTGAAACAAGACATTAAGGATGTGTCTTGGTGCACCCACTCTATCGACGCTAGGTGTTCACACAGAAAGTCTAAAGCAAAAGAGTGCCACAGAGCGCAGCACAGACCCAAGGAGCGAGGTGTCAGAGATGTAAATGGCTTCTTATTAGTCCGCTTTAGGAGCTAAAACTCTTTTTGAGTAAATGCCCCACCCACCCATTTGATTTTGAAGGTGGGGGAACGGGGAGAATCAACTTGAGGTACCCGGTAGCTTGGAATGCTTTGGCGAAGGGAATCATAAGGTACCATTTGGGGACTTGGTCATCTGGGACCAGGGTGCAATAAGATGAACTCCGTTCAACGGAGGAGGGAGAACGTTTGGTTGACCGCTTGGAGGATAGAGGGAGGCAGAGAGAGGCAGACACTCGATCCCTGCAAGGAAAAGGCGCCCGACAAAGTTGGCATCGCTCTCTTTCCTCGGGTGCAGAAAAGTGAAGACGAAGGCAATTCGAAGAAAAACAGCAGCGAACATTGACGGTTTGTATACTTTTTGCGATCCGGTTGGTGCAGAATGGGTGAACTCACCTCGACGAAGCCCTTGTGCCACGACGGATCTATTTCCGGCCTTTCATGAGCCGCACGCGCTTCGTCGAAAGTTTCCACATCGGGGAAGGGCAATCCACCAGACACCAGTGAATAGTAGATCATTCCCATGGCGTAGATGTCAACCTTTTCTGTCACGGGCTGGCGTAGGAGTTGGGCGGCGGATGGACAAAGACAGCAAAAATCACTAAAAGTAAACGAGGGACGGTCTATACATTCACGTCTTGGTACTTCCCAGAATATGCCTCAGGTGGCGTGAGATATCACACCCCGGTCATGACATTTTTTGCGTGCGGCAACACTATCGTACGTAGTGTGGTATTCTGTAGGGGGTGTGGAAATGTTGTCCGCCCCACTTCTTCGTCTGAATTTCACTTGGACGTCCATAATCTATCTGTACTGTAGCAACGTGTCGTGAAATTGTTGCCTGAAGCATGCTGCGTGGATATTCTCTGTGGGTGTGCTATCTCATACCACTTCCAATAGGACGTACTCGAGCGAAAGTCTAGGCCGTGCTCCCAAGCAGAAGATTGCCGTCTGTTAAAGCGAGGACCGAGGAAATCTGGACCCCAAGCCATGTTCAGATTATACAAAATGGTTGCGAATACTTCGCTCGAGACCACGCGGGCAAGAGTACAGCGTGACGCGATTGCCGCCAGTTCGCAGAGCCAAAGGCATGCGTCGGCACACGCCTCCTATACGGAATGGAAATCCTTCCAGAGAGGGACCACCTCTCGAAACCTCTCGAACTACGAAGTTCAAGCAGAAAAATCGATAAAAGAAACGCTGCCAGCCTGTTGCGTGAGAAATAGCGGCATCAAGTGCGAAAAGTCGGGACATTTTTGGGTGCATTTTCACGCTCCTTACGCCTGAGCTCGAGCAACTGCTACGAGGTGGAGAGAATCGCGCGTATTAGGGTTTTGTCTCGGGGTGCATTGCATGGTTCCCGTTCCACTCCTTGTCGTTGAAGAAATGAGGGCTTCTGGTACTGTGTCACCACACCGAGTGGCACTGATTTAGCAAGAAGAAGAACAGGCAATACCTACGATTGAACACCTGCCATATCACTATTCACAAATTGCAGCCTGATAAAAACAAGTGAGCCATTCAGCACCCGACTCCCGCACATTTTGTTCCCACCATCCGGCAATGTGTACCGCGTGACTCTATGAGTTGCGGATATTCGTTCAAAAAATGAGAATGTTTGGACTCGATACACGCGTTGCAAGCCGAAAAACGATCGCACCACCTGACTAGGACTGGGCGAGAATTACTGCTCTTAGTAGGGTAGGTAAATGAACTGGGTTGCCTACTTCGTCTCTCTGCGCCGCACCTTTCCCGCTATATTTTCCGGTGCCCTCCACGGAACTAGGCGAGCGGGCCTGCCTGTGAGTATTGGGCAATGTTTTCCATCTGCGGAAGCGTCTGCGCTCATGAGGTGGACACTGTTGAAGTCGTTAACTTTCCCACGTCCAGCGTCGTCAATGAGCAGCTGTTGCGGTTTCATGTCCAGATGGATCGCGCCGGCGATCTCATGCAATGCCTGCAGCCAACACCCAAGGGGAACAGGGACAACGGTTAGGCTGGTATATGTAGCACTCGTTTCAGCGCGTTTGCTGGAGCATACACGTTTCACCATGTCCTGGAAAACCGAGGAGGGTGTAGTGCTGTCGCGGGCGCTGGCATCCAAGCAACATCGTTGCCGAGCACAACCGGGTACGCCTTGCGCCAGCCACGATACACCATGAGTCGCGTGTTGATGTTGAGCTCCACCTGAAATGATGAGCTTCATCCCAACAACCTGTTGTGTGGGTCGGAAATAGCAAGCCCATTTGATTGCTTCCGGTGCAGTCAATCAATTCCACTTTCCCGGGTGCGCCACGGAGCAATGGCTCTTTGTTTCTGATCGAATACACGGAACACGCGACAAGGGCGTCCTACCTTCGCGTGCTCTCCGCCGCGGTGAGAGTGGTTGAAAGTGGTCAGTCACGGCTTTAAAAGTAGTGCCTTATCAATTCTATTTTGACGTGCCCAAAATGTTTCCTGTATCCCTCCTCTCCATATCTTGCCTGCATCCCTTGGGCGACGTCGAGCGCCAAGGAAACCACGCGGCGTAAAGAAAGTTTCTCTTTCTTCCTGAAAATGGTGTGCAGAAAATTGTCCGGGTGGTACTCTGTCACCACCGTGGTATTGCAGAAGCCGAGCATGCCCACAACGTTTGGGTGCCCCCGCAACTGCGGGAGTTTGAACGAGACGGGCGGCCGAGAACGGACAGCGTGATCAGCGCACCTGCGTTGCACAGTTATATGCGTTCTTATCGAAAAGGTTTTCTAGAGATCCACGAGGGGAGGGGAGAACCCCTGAATTCCAAAGCAGCCATGACTTCAAGGAAGGGGAGGTACGGTCTGAAGAAAAAACTTCGCATGTCGACAACAGCTTCGGCAAAACAATTATTACATGGTTAGACTACACAATTCTGTGAAATGGTTATTACATTGGTGTGAGGTATGCAAGAGGTAATCGGTCATGTCATGAAAACTGCCATAGAGTTGGACGTCTTGTCATTCGTTTGGACTGGGCGAAAACAAGTATTGGGTGGTCTGGATCGAAATCAGGACAAACTACGTGAGAACCCCTTGTCGTATATGGAGAGCAAGGCAGAAAGATTGGGAAACAATAGTGACAAACGTAAAACCTTAGGAGGGAACCAAGACAAATGATGTTCTCACCGCTTCGAGCGTCAAAGACTCTACCCTATGCATTTCGAGGTGCGCTTTCAGCCTTCGTAGCTCCTCCACATGCTGGAGGGTCTTGACGACCACAGCCTCTCCCTCGTATTCAACCATGTGCACGGTACGCACTCTGCCCGTACCGATGAGAGTCATTTCTCCGCTCAACATTCTCTGCACAGGCCACATTAAAAGACACACGGAAAAGATCGCGAAGGTATGGCGACAACTCAGCTGTAGCGATGGCTGTGTGGAGTCAATCATTGCGCTGTCTCAACATGCACCAAACAACCAGGTGTCACGGTTGTCCTCTTGCCCCAACATCAACCCGCAACCACAACGTCCATACGCGAGATTCCCGGCCAACAGGTTGCAGAATTGAACTTTCTTTTTTCTTCGCGCTGCATATTGTAGTTCTTGTTCATGAGCCGGAGACAAGGAGACCAAACCTGGCAGCAATAGGAAAGACACACCATTTGCCGCCCCACTCTCTGCGAATATTTGTTTTCTTCATATCTCAACGAGTGACGTTGTTGGGTAGGCTTGTGATCGGGATCATAATTTGGACATGACCGGATCATGACTCAGTGATCAGGTCATGACTGAGTCATGCCTGAGGCATGATCCCATCATGACCGGATCATGATCAGATCATGATTGCGGTCATGACCCCGTTCCATGACCCGATCATGATCAGATCATGACCGCGTCATACCGGATCATGACTTAGTTTGATTGTTCTCACTTTCGCAGGAGTTTTCGCCCAGACTACTGCATCATGACCCGGTCATGACCTAGCCATGATATTCTCATTAACGAGCCGTGATCGTGTCATGACCGGGACACGATAAGTGCAACATGACCAGACATGATCATGGCATCACTACATCGTGAACCAACCGTGACCCGATGTTCTGTCTAGATTTGTTGCATCACCGTTAACCTGGCGCCTATGTCGGCAAACCTACGTAGAAGTTGTCCCATCAACACCAACCTAGCGCCAATGCCGGCGCACCACTAGAACTTATCCACCCAGCTCCAACCTGGCACCTATCGTGTGGGTTTGGGGTTAGGGTGGAGGTGAGGATTTTTGGGCAATTTCATGCCCCTGCCAAAGCAGAAAATCTAACGTTTAGGAGCACCAGAAATGCATTCGTCATGACCAATTCATGACCGAGTCATACCGAGTGTTGACCTGGTCATGGACGATTCATGACTCGGTCACGACCGGGTCATGAACCGACCATGACTCGAGTCACGACCGAGTCATGATCGAAGCATGACCGAGGCATGACTTCGGTCATTATCATGATCATGGTCGAGGCCATGGTGGTGACTGGGTCATGAACGTCATGACGAGTCATGACCGGGTCATGACCCGTGGTCGGGCCATGAGTGAGTCATGATCGGAAACCAAAGAACGTCAAAGCCCCCTCATAAATCCGCGCTTTTCGATCACGTGATTTCCTTCCATCACGTCGTTCGTTCTTCTGACCCGGCGCTGTATACAGTGGTCTGTCCCTTGTTACCTGCCCCTTCGGGCTCTTAATAACAACAACTATGTTTCAAACTGTGTAAGCCGTGTTCTTGAGCAGAAGGAAGGAGAAGCTGGACCCTTTCTCGCAACAAAGTAGGCGGTGATAAAAGTATGGGTTAGACGCTGTCCTGCCAAGATTAAATGAAGCAGTCGGCAGACAAAACACGGCACACCCACCACAGTTTCTGCGTCTTATGTGAACGAACCCCGTAGGTAACCCCAGATCTGTGTACAACCCGACCCTTGTCCTTCCCCTCCTCGCGCGCGACAAAGAGAGAAAGAGAGAGTCTGCAACAACTTCGCGATGGCAAAACAAAAAAGGGTTGGCGAATAAAACACTGTCCCAAACTGTTAACACGCTTCACTCCGATTAGGAGGTGGGCATCAAGCCGGACGCTCTCACCTCGATTTCTTGGCAACCGAACTTATAATTCGCTGGGTTCGGCTGCTTTTCCCACAACGGGTTCCTATCGCACGGCTCTCCTGCTTCGCTGACGTGGAGATGATAGAGCTTCCTTCTACCCTGTGCGAGGGTGGTGTTTGCGTGAAGTCCAATCCGAGCCGTTGTTGCCGTTCCTTCTGGTATTCGTCGAAGTTCCAAGTCTTTCTTCGAAGCAGGGTCGTCGAAGGGAGAGACGCTATCCATTGTTTCTTCTCCAGCGGACACATTGGCGGCCACGAGAAGCAGGTTGATCATGGCGTTGGCGGCCGGACGCAAAGAAAATCGTCTTCGAATCCGGCGGCGATTGAGGTTGGCTGTCTTGGGCCGCCTTCTCCGGAGGACTGCAGGTGCTGACGACGGACGAATCATGGTGTGCTCCCAAAGGGGTAGACGGGTGGGCCCGGCAGCATCTATCCGCCGAAACTGAGAGTGCAATCGGTCGGTGTGGGGAGTAGCAGAAATAGCAGCAGGCAACAGCGAGGGTTGAAATGTTGTTGATTCAGTTTCTCCAAGAAACGGGCAGCAAGGGGAGGAAGTTGGTGCCGGGTAAGCGTATACATAGATCGAACAAGGTGCGCCATGTTTAATACGGCCTTAGTTTTGGCGATGAGGACTTGCGGTTTGCGTTCGTGAAGCCTTGCGCGGTATAGCTGAATGTACATATCAGTTGTTTCTCTCACAGCCCGTTTGAATCGACTCCGGCTGTAACTCTATGGTCAAAATAAATTGGCATTACAGCAGTAAACGGGAAATTTACTTTGCAGTGCGCTCCAGTGGTGAGCGTGAAGTCTTGGTATTGCTGTCTCATTCTCTCTGACAGGCATATTATACCCAAAACTATCTACTAGTTGTCTCTTTGGCGACTCTTGCCGGCAAGTTATTGTCCGACCGAGCTGGCTCCAACAACACATATGCGATGTTTCGCACGGAAACCAATACTGAAGCTACCTATCGTTAAGATTCACCAACCCATGAACTATTCTTCGGGTACTGCTGTATGTCATCTTGCACCACCCTCGGGAGGCTCGACACCCACATCCCGAAGGGGGATCTTGTACATGAAGAGAAATTATTGGATAGGGCGGGATGAGCCGCGGGGTAGCGACTCAATATCTTGCAGTAGTCTTATCTGCGATGCTGATGGTGCACGAATGCCGACACACACAGCAGATGTTCGTGTGTGCATGAGCGGATGAGGATATTCTAACGGGACTGTAGGAAGTGGCTACGTAGATAGAAATTGATATTCCCCTGGCTCGGGTTTTATGGTTGATCCACGGTGCTCGGCTCGGTGGGAGTGCTTGCTGCTTTGCGACAGTCTCTCTCCCGCCGCGTCTTGATCTCGTCTGCTGTCCTTAACACAAGTGGTACAAACATCTTCAACACACATACTAACACTCTAGAGTGAGTGTATCCCTCAAGGGAACCCGTGCTGGAGATGAGTGGCGCCGATGCTGCAGGCCAGCCTGCCGACGTGACTGCAAGTGAGCAGCACAGGGTCCACAACCTGGAGAGCAGAATTTCAGGCCACAGCAGCTGGCGGAGCTACTCCGAGCCGCCCTCGGAAAGGGCAATAAGAAGGGGAGTCCGGCGGCGCTGGGGTGGGCGCTGTCGTTACGGGCGCTGCGCCCACCCGCGGTACCCAGGAGGGGGGGCCGCAAAACCAGGGAATCACGCCGCCCTCAGACCCAGCGGTTGGGCCGGGAGGCGGGGGTATCAGGGGATCGCTCACCCAAGTTGAGACAACCCAGACGTATGGCCGTGGTACTGGTGGTTTTGGCGGACTCGTCGGAGAAGGAGACGATTTTCACCAGAACCCGTATAGCAAAATACGGGTGTCAGTGCACGCGCCGCGTCTCGAAGGCGACCAGGGATACTATATGTGGAGGAGGGCGTTTATCCAGGCCGCGAAAACGGTCGACATGGACGGCCAGTACGTAGGGGCCACTGAACGCCGGGCAGAAGTCGGAGACATGAATCAACCCAAAGCTACGTTGCTTGCGGATGGGTACTCCGAGGCACAGATACACCGCAGCCTCCAAGCTTTTCCTTTTCCTGTCCTCGGCCCTGGTGAGGGAATCAGACAAAGCCATCTTCGCCAGATGCGTGACGCTGAAGCAGGCCCTCGACGAACTAGGCAAGGTGCACAATCCAGAGTCGCAGGTCGCCACCCAGGAATTGCTCAGCAAGTTCCAGAACTTCAAAATGCCGGCCGACAAGAATCCAACTGAATCGCTGATCGCCATGGAGCAACTCGCAAGTCGTCTGATCGAGAGGGGGATCAAAATTGAGGCCTCTTACGTCCTGTCGCTCTTCCTCTCAAATCTACCGGCCGAGTACGACCATGCCAGACTGACCCTGCAGTCCGCCCAGACTCTGGATCGGGGGGAGCTCATCCGTGTGGTGGGCTCCCAGCGCTCCAGCATCAACCAGGGGAAGATCCATCGGAACGGCAACCGCAACCATCACAAGGCGGCCGAGCAGTCATTAGTCGGGAGTGTCGGCAATGGCGGTGGCGGAAAAGCTGGTCGCAACCGCGGCCGCGGGGGTGGCAACGGCAACGGCAACGGCAACGGCGGTGGAGGCTGTCGCGGTGACGGCGGCCGCCGCAGGGGCCGGTGCTACCGGTGCAACAGGCGAGGGCACCAGTCGTTCGCGTGCACTGCCCCCATCGCCGAGTTCCTGCCCCAATGCGAGAACTGCGACGAATTTGGAAACGATATGAGCAAGTGCCTGTCGGCGAAGGAGGAGGAGGAGGCGAAGGACGAGACGGCAGCCATGGCAATCGTGGCGGCGGGCGATGACGAGGAGCTGGATGTCGCACGTAAGGTCTTGTAAGAAGAGGCGGGACACTAAAACCGGTCGGTGTGCCCATAGCCGCGACGGGAGGGGCGCGGGAGGTCAACAAGCAAAACAGCCCCGTGCCGCGCAGCAAGGAGCGTGGGGGAGGGCATCATACTTAAAAAATAATCTAGGCCCATAGCCGCGACGGAAGGGGCGTGGGGGGGGCAATGTTCACAGAACACGGCGAGATGGCCATGTGCCCACAGCCGCGACGGGAGGGGCGCGGGAGGGCAACAGCCAAATAATACGGCGGGAGGGCCGTGTGCTCGCAGCCGCGACGGGAGGGGCGCGGGAGGGCAACAATCAATGCAATTCCTTGGCGCGTCGGGAGGGGCGTGGGGGGGAGGTAAACATTAGCCCCGTGGCGCGTCGGACGGGGCGCGAGAGGGGAAAAAAATCAAAGGCCCCATGGCGCGTCGGACGGGGCGTGAGGGGGGTAGACTATCGAAGCATCCCCGGGACGCGCCGGAAGGGGCGTGAGGGGGAGCCCCACGGCACGTCGGAAGGGGCGTGGGGGGGGAGAGACAACATGCATCGTGGTGCTAAAACGGTAACTCTTTCTCTGGCGAGGCTACAAGCCGGGACGAGCGCTGGGAGGGGAGCAACACGCATCACAGTGCTGAAAATGGCGCATCTTTCTTGACGGTATATGGTTTTTGATGGTATTCGTAGCGAAGTTGATAATCCTCGTCGGTTGTCGTGAATGCACTTTGGTTGAAGAACCTGGGAGGGTGTTCCGTGTTTTTCGAAGGCGTTCGCGTCCACATGTTCAGTACTTTCCTGGTAGTCGTTTGGTTGAAACTTCTTGATTGCCGCCACGTTGGGCCGTTCTCTAGGTTGCGAAATGTGCAGGAATATGGGATACTGTTGGAACCGCTGAACGAACATATGAAACAAATTGGGACACCAGTGTTGTTGTACTTCCCCGCGAATAGAGGACTGTCGAAAACAAAATTCATGCCGGTTATATGTCGCTCAGAAAATGTTAAAATGATTGCCTCATGCGCCGGTGCGCTGTGTTTCGTCAGCGAAGGGGGGCGATCTCGATGTTTGATGTCTGAGTAGTCGTGCAGCCGCATGGTGGTGGTGGTAGTTGTTTGGACAAACTCCTCACGACAGTCTTCTTACGCTATTGCTTACCAAGAATTGGGATAGGCCGTTGTTGGAAATAGGGTTATGATCTTGGTACTTCATGCAGGAAAAATATGAAGCACGCCGCCCACGTTTGTAGGTGTAGAATTTGAGCGTGGACGCCGGCGCAACTGGTATTGCATGTCTTGATCTTGCTCTGATTGGACGGTGAACGTTGGTTGGGGGTTTCGATCCGGAGGCCGAATTTCCCCCTATTCAATTATTTTTGTTCGTTAGGTTGCTGGTCACATCCGGCGTGTGCATTCCCCGTAATTTTTGAAGCGGTTTTTTACTTGCGTATAGAACCAGGGAGGGTGTTCGTGTGTGCATGAGCGGAGGAGGGTATTCCAACGGTACTGTAGGAAGTGGGTACGCAGATATAGGATTGATAGTCCCCTGGATCGGGTTTTATGGTTGATCCACGGGGCTCGGCTCTGTGGGAGTGCTTGTGGCTTTGCGGCACTCTCTGCTCTCTGCTCTCTCCCGCCGCGTCTTGATCTCGTCTGTTGTACTTCATACAAGTGATACAAGCATCTTCAACACAATACTACAGCAGACATGTATCATATACCGGGCGGCGAGCGTGTAACACATCACACCGTCGAGGTGCACGACCAGCAGCGTAGATGTGTAGCACGGCCATCTGCTTTGTATCGGAGCATGACCAAACCAGTGTGGCGAAGAGCGCGCTATTTTTCTTCTTCCTCGTAAGCGAACAGATCATCAATCTGTGCCCAATACAATTTTGTAGTCTGGTCCCAAAGGTGCGTTATTTCGGCTTCCCCGTAATCAAGTTTTGGGGCCCCTCCCTGTATCGCGCGGCGCCACATAGATCTAAGTTGAATACTTCACGTACTCACCTACGGAAAACTGCCTTCCAATTTTTTTTATCAGGCTTGCTTCTCGGACTAATTTAATCCCGCGGCACACACCATGAGGGATTAAAGAAGGCACTCCGGGACAAATCGGGCAAGGGACCATCCATGTGTAACAATGTTCTTCCGCAGAACACCGATAGATTCATGCGGAATATTACGCAGCAAATTGTAGACGACGAATATTCGATTCGTGAACGGCAACATCACCCCCCGCTGAGCAGCGTGATGGAGGTACAGTAGGTGGCCCTTAACAGTGGCAACCTGAATAGTGAAATGCCCCATAAAGTGGCATAAAAATCTCCTGGCATAATCTCAACCCGATATAGTGGCACTTTCCCACTATTGAGGACGGGGCCCTCAATAGTGGCATATTGGCCATCTCACACACCCAATAGTGGCAAT